GAGAGGGAGATTTATTGGCCCAATCAACAGGACAGGTAATATATGTACTGATCTATCTACATGGGAACAAGATTGAAACTAACTAAGACATGTATAGATAGATAGATATTTAGATATTTAGATAGATAGATAGATAGATAGATAGATAGATAGATAGATAGATAGTCAATAAATCTTGTTGGCTACAATGTCCTCAGGAATGGCATAGATAAAATTTATATTACAATTTGATTACAATCCAAGCTAACTTATAAAAATGATAGATTTCCTTCACTTGCTCAAAGAACAACAACAAAAAACTTCGTTAACTGATCTATGCACCTTGCCATTGGATACATATGTTACTACAGAACTGTATACTACTTGTGAGAGCTTATATGTTCATGGAGAAAACAACCAGAAAAACAGTACTGATAAGATTTACCCTTTGAAGATGCTGAAACACGGAAACATATTGCTCCAACATCCTGCCTGAGCCTACCTCAAACTGCCTTAGTGTTGTTTTAATAAAAGTCTTGCTTCCATGACAGCTTCAAAGAAAGCTGTCAACCCCAGATAACCTCAATTCATCCAACCCCATAGACTTATCCAGTCAGAACTTCTCTATAGGCTTAGATTTTTCAAAACCTACTTTAATTAGGGTTCTTAAATGCTCTAACCTGCTTTCTAGTTCATCAACCAGAGATACTGAAAGAAGATGGATAATAGGGCAAGGAGGATATGGACCTGTTTAGAAATAGTTCTTTGGGGCGATTTCAATCTTCATTGTCAGGATATCAGCAGTGCAGTCCCAAACATCAAACACTAATCAGTAGCAACAGTCCAGTCTAATTGGCAAACATCAAAGAACAAATCAGTAGCAGCAGGTCAATCCAGAAGAAACCACGAGGCTCCACCAAATCAGCAGGAGTCCACAGAAGCAGCAAGAATCAGACAGAATACTATGAGAGGTTTTTTGGTGCTTTTCTCTCTACAAAGTCACAACAAGCAAAGAACAGCAAAGCACAACAAAGCATTGCAAAGCAAGCCAATGCAAGAGTGTCATCAGTGAAGACCATTGAAGTGTTTGAAGGTGAACCAATGCAAGAGTGTCCTCTCACTGTCCGTAGGGTTATATTTATATTCTTTCTAAATATCATGCACCCTCTCAAGTCTTTGCTCTAACAAAACGTCACAAGATAGCTTCCAGAAAAAAAATACCATATTTTATGAGGGATATCTCTATTTTTCTTTTCTCTATCCTTTGTTTCATAGGTAAAAAGAAGGGTTAAAAAGAAAAATATATAATATAGGAATATTATAGCAATTCTACAAAAAAAGGGGTAGATTGTTGACTCTATTCTTAAACCAAAAACATTTTATAGCCAATAATGTTACATTGGTATAGGGTTTTGTACATTGATACATATTAAGGTTACATTTTGTTACATTGGTATAGATCTTTGTATATCGATACAAAAATTAAGGTTATTTTTGTTACAACATACTATGTATACATGTTTTCAACTCTTACTTGTGGTATTGTATCTAGATGGTTCGCAAGTTCTAGTCTTTTTAAAAGCTGCTATTACAAGTTGTTCAGGATGATGAAGTAATACAAAGTAATAGTCAATCAAACTTATGGTCATATTAGATAATAGACTGGTTCATCACAAAATTGTTTCCAAGGTTGAATAGATAGCAAATATCTAGAAACAAAGTTTGCCTATTAACATATACTATAGATAGATGGTCCTCAAACACCTCAGAGACTTATAGAATATGACATTTAAAGTTGTTTGATCAATTTAAGCCTTTTTTTGGACATAGAGGCAGATCTGTTCTTGCTTGGGTAGTATCCCCATTTCTACTTCAAAGAAAATGATGAGTATCAGAAAACCTCCTTGTGGAGTTTGCTTCAAATGCCACTGGGCAAAATCTGTCCTTGCTTCAACAGTAGACAGAATGCTGTCTGAAATGGATAAACATAGACATAGGGAAATTGATTGCCAAGCTTTGCAAGGACAAGATAGGCTAGCCCTTTAGAATTGTTGCTCCACAGAAAACTATGTCAGATATTCTGGGCCAGAAGGCTGAATCGCCAATGTTTTAGAAAAATTCTGAGGGACTGTTCAGGCAGCAAACTTTCTCTGTCATCTCTACAGTTTTGGAAGTTGTTTCCCTGCACCTATTGCATACACAGGTAATATTTATTCCTTCTCAGGTCTCTGATGGAGTTGAAGACTACATAGTTATAGTCTCACAGTTAAGCTTAAGTTGTTTAGCATTTAAAAAGATGTTTTTAGATCTTGGAAATTATTTTAGGTTAGTAATGCAAGTTATAATAGAAAATGACTTAGCTACAAAACTCTGAATTCATTGTGATAAAATAGATAATAGAACACTTTAACCAAAGTTGCCAAATACAGGCAGACTAGACTTTGTTAATGTAAATCTTACCTAATAGTTTTCACAATTATTTCACAATTGTTCTTACTGTGTGTCATTTATTATTGTAAGAGAAAGAACCTTTTATTTAGAAAAAAAGGGGGGAAATGTTGAGGGTGGATCTGGTGCTGCCATGTATTCAAGTGCTATATACAGTCCCCCTGTCACCCTCTTTCCTTCTCTCCTGCTCCTCTCACTCTGTCTTCTCCTTCCCTCTCTTCTCCTTCCCCTCTCCATTCTCTCTCTCTCTCTCTCTCTCTCTCTCTCTCTCTCTCTCTCTCTCTCTCTCTCTCTCATCTTTCCTCTCCTCCCTTCTCACTCTCCCTCTTCATTACTCTTTCCTTCTCCCCTCCTCCTCTGTTAGTGTGCAAACCAACAAATACTGCAGCTATTCAATAAACACTGTAGCCTTTCTGTGTGAGAGGGAGGACTTTAGTTCTGTAAGAATGATTGCATTCAGATCTGCAACAACCCTAAGAGGTAAGCTTCATCACCCCTACTTTACAGAAGGAAATATAGGAAGCAGCTTACCTAAACCACAGGGTTTAAAAGCTGAACATGGTAAAATTCTAACCCAGGAAATTTGGTGTCATAACCAGCATTTGTTGTACTTAAACTACACAATAGCTACCCCCACATTCACAATCAATGTTTCTGCAAATAAATGAATAAACGAGAATGTCAAGCATAGGTTATCCTTATACGTCTGGCTGGGAAAGGAGAGGGGTCTTAATAAGTGCTGATGTCTCCAAACTGATACACGAGAGGGTACACGTGCTAAGCATACAATCGTGCATGCAAAGATACGGAGGCATGAAAAAAATCGGCACATTGCCATGGAGTATGTTCAGTTTATTCAGAGTATAGAAAGGAGCAGAGATAAGTATATTGGTAAATTAAAGTTCATAGAAACTAAGTAGAAAACAAAATGTTTATAAACCATGAGAAACGGTTTTATTATAAACTGTTTTTAACAAAACAGTTATAACAATTGTTTAAAAATTGGGAAGCTACTGAAATTTAATCAGAATGAAGACACATTGTATTTGTGATGAAGAAAGCACAGCCTGGCTGTCATGTAAAGCAATGGTTCTTTCTTTTTTAATATTTTATTTAAGTGTCCACACAGTCACTGTGGAGATCAGACTTCAAGCAGTTGGAGTTGGTCTTCCTCTTCTATCATATGGGTTCTAAGGATCAAGATCAGATCATCAGACTTGGTGACAAAGGATGTGCCATCTTGCAGGCCCCAAAGTAGTGTTTCTTAAAGTCAAGCAGGCTACATTCTTACTGAAGAAAACACTTGTATGTGTGAGTTTATGATGACACTTGTATTTACAAAGTTAGTTACGTGTCTGCAAATGTGTAACAAGTGTAGACTCATTATTCTAGCGGTGTTTGGACAGGTACCTATCTCAAAAATAGGAAAAAATAAAAGTTAAAATAAATGAATATAATTTTAAACCAAATTATACTTCATTTGCAATAGTTTTATTTTGATGCAGTTTAATTTCTGTCTCTATGCTAACCTAAAATTGACTTACATACGCATACTATGGGGGAAAAACGCTCAGACATCATTGCTTTTATTTGCTTTTGAGTTTATGACTCAAAATTAACACTATCCTAATTTTTTTAGATTGACATTACGAAGCCTAGACTCCTTCCCATTTTAATATACCTCTCCAACATTTACAAGTGAATGAATGGTAAATTATTCAAGGGGTTCTCAAAAAAAGAATTTTTTCTTGTTTTTTTTTTTTGTTTTATTTTGCTTTGCTTTGCTTATGTTTGTGTCTAAGTATATGCAAGTTTGCATGTGTGTGGATACACATGTGTGTTCAGGTGAATGGACGTGTGTGTGTGTGTGTGTGTGTGTGTGTGTGTGTGTGTGTACACAGTAGAAACATGTGGAAGCCAGAGGTTGAAGTAAGGTGTCTTGCTTGCGCGTTCCACTTATTTTTTGAGGTAGGGTCTCTTGCTGAACCTGGGAGCCCTCAGGAAAGTCTAACAAGCCAGGATGGATTCATTCTCATTCATTCTCAGCCTCTGAATACAAGTGGCTGCCACTGGATGCGAGGGAGAACTCTTCTCATGCCCTTCCATAGACACAAAACCTAGATCTTTAGGTAAGAACCAAATAATCATGGGTTATTCATTATTTATTTACTGTTGCATGTATTTATTAAACACGTTGTTCTAAGACTTTCTTTTAAACCGTGATATCTCTCTCTCTCTCTCTCTCTCTCTCTCTCTCACACACACACACACACACACACACACACACACACACACACACACACAGCGCGGGGAGTATTACTTAAAGGGCTTTCTTTAAATCTATACAATATTTTTAAGGGAGTATTTCTTTTTCACTGATAAGGGCAAGGGGGGAAAAAAGCTGACTGAAAACGCATTCTGGTGATTTGACCCTCTCGCATCTACGTAGGAAGCCCGCAAGAATTGCTTTCCCGGCAGTTTCCAGGTTCCACAGAAACGAAACCGCGTCCGGCTCCGCCCACAGGCGGGCTGGCCAATGAGGCGCTGCCCGGGTGGTCCACGCGCTGGGTGTCATGGCGGCCTGCAGGCAGTGCTGCTTGTACCTGTGGCTCCGACCGCTGGGCAGCGGCCCCCTCGGCCCCCTCGGCCGGCCCGGGCGGAATCCAGCACTCAGCTATTTGCAGGTGCGAGCGCTGCGGAGTGGCACCGATTCCAGAGCGGTGACTGTGGACCTGGGACACAGGTGAGGAACGGTGTGAGTTCGCGGAGTTCTCACGCGGTGTCTTGTCCAGCCAGCCCTGGTAGCCAAATCCCTCAGGGTAGGAAAGAGACTAAATCCCTTTTAACCTCTCTATTCCAAACCTAAGGTCGAGATTTCCTTCTCTGGATTTAAACTCTGTCTCCCTGGGTCCTCCCCTTTCTCAAGCTGGCCGCTGCCCTTTGCCTCTTTCTCTTCCTCCTAACCCTGCAGTGAACTTCCAGAGTCCTGTTCTGCCTGTGCCCCTGACGTCCTTTCTCTGTATTTTCCGAGACTTCGAGCTCTGAAGTAGAAGACGTACCACTACCATCTCTAGGTAGTGTGTTGTCAGTCTGTGCCCCAGCTCCACTGATATAGCCAGAACCGAGGCCAGTGTGAACTGGAACTGACCCTGTCATTTTGTTGAATGCCAGTTATAAGATGCACATAGTCCTGTTAAACCTTTAGTGAAGGTGCAGTTATCATCCAACAAAAAGGTCAAAAAGGTTAATTTCTCAGTTAACAAGACACACAGTGGGTGGGGAGAGGGAAAGAGAATGAATATTTTAAAATAACAGTTTTTTTAAAAAGCTTTTCCCTGAAGCTCTACTTTGTGTGACAGACCGCTGCCCCTTTTCCTCCCTTGGCATCCATCTCCCCTTCCCATCACTGCGATCTGCTTGCTCATTGTATCAGTCTTCTTAATGTTCATAGAGTAGGTAGGTATTCACTCACATGGTTTGGCGTATGGAAACTTAAGAACTCTTCCACTTATTCCCAAGTGCCCACTTCTAAACCCCAGAGGCTACCTATGCAGTATGGGTCTTCTATGTATTTGGAGGTATTTTATACAATATAATATTGAAAAATAAATTGTTATGAGGCAAAATGAACAACAACAAAGACACCATAAATTTAATAGCTTTCTTTGGAACAATCAAAATTACATATACCTCCTTCCCCCTCCCCCAAATCTTTCTGCATTATTAGAATTCATTGAATAACAATAGATTCATACACTGTATCAGTTCTGTTATCGAAGTTTTCAAGGTAGTTCCAATTTCCTTTGATATAAGCTGGCTGTTGACAAACATGGTTTCTTTTATTCTACCATTAATTACTAACTAATACCAACTCTCCAATTACACATTTTACCTTGTACAGTAATAATACCTATGTATTTCTATAAATGTCTGTGCATAGTTCTATAAATGCCTATGTCTGTAAATGTCACTGTAAACAGTGACTACAGAATTAAGATGTCAAGGACTTGAAAAGACTTACTAGAGGCAAGGAGCTAAGACACACTGAGGGACTACTGCTGGTAGTCCCGTTTGGAGAGCTGCTGGAGGCCCATAGGGCCAAGCCACAGTGTGGAGCTCAGCTGAAGAGTTGAAGGTTAGAACTGGGTCCAGATGGATGGACATGTGAAGACCTACAACAATTTGAGGGGCCCATGCCAAGCAATAAGGACCAAATTCAGCTAAAGCGTTAGGGATAGTCTGCCTATCAGTCCTTTGAAAAACAGCAGGTGATCCAACAGTGGATTGAGGGGTTCATCACTATTGGTGTTGCTAGATGTCCTTCTATGGGGTCCAGGTGAGGGTGTCCATTCATTGGTTGGCTGTGTTTGATAAGTTCTTCTACCCTTTTAATACATCTATGTGTTCACATATATGTTCCCAATATATTTGATGGGTTTATAGATCATACCTTTTTACTTTTAGAACTTAGGTATTTATACCGAAATCCATGCTTTGTGAGTGGTTCTAGACAGGAGCTGGTGTATACTTGCATGACATACATCTTGCCTCTGTATTTGGCCTTTTAATGTCATATCTAAAAAGACATTTTCTAGTCTGAATTTATGGAGATTTACCCCTACTGTTTTTTTCCTCCAAGAGTTTTAATTTCTTTTTCCTTTGCTCTAAAAGGAATAGTATCTATTTTGAGTTTTTATTTTTGTATGGAATAGGTATCTCGATACCTTTGATTGAAAAAGACTGTTTTTTTTTCCACCATTAAATTGTCTTGACACCACTGTTTGACATGAAAGTCTTTATTGTTATTATTAAGTTTTTAAGCATTCGAAATGTTATCAGAAGATAGTCTTTATTATTTTTAACTTAGTATACAAAATACTCATATACCAGAACATGAAAGTCTTTGTAGTCAATATTCAGTTAGGGATCCCGTTTTCTCTCCAACATATGTTCCTTGTCCAGATGCATCTTTTACCTTGGTTCCCATCGTCTTTAAGCTGCACTTGAATCTCTTGTGCTTTTGATGATCACAGCTTCTACTTACTTACACTTTTTTTTCCTCTGATGACTGGGAGCCTTTCATTCTTTTCTTTTTTTTTCCTAGATTCTCCAATTATTTTTACTTAGCAAAGACTTGTACTGGTGTCATTTTGTATTAAATTTTTCTTTTTAAACAGAAAATTAGAAATATCCTCTGGGAAACTGGCAAGATTTGCTGATGGCTGTGCTGTGGTACAGGTAGGAAACCAGTTTTTGCTTTAATCATGGTGACTGGGTGTCTTTGTAGCATCGTTGTGTCTTTGTAGTCATCATTGTGGTATTGGGAACTAGATCAGACACTATTAAGGGTATTTCTAGTGTCAGAACCATGCTAGACCATCCAAGTCAGTGTTGTGTATATTAAATGACCTTTAAGTTCTCTTCCAAAATGTGAGCGGTCTTGTAGTCTGTTAATGAAATCTGTTATGCTTTTCTAGAAAAAATGTTTTCATTATTCTTTTCATTGTAATTCTTGAAAATTTTTCTTTATAGTCTAAATTTCTTCTTAAAGAATAAAAAATATGATTCAGTTGATTGATGTGACTAAGCTGTTAGCTATTTCTTCATGTGAAAACATCACTGAATATTCTAATACTGACCTTGGTCAGATAGAAAGGATCATGATTGGACTAGTTGTGGTCCTATGAAATAAGAGATCTTTTGTTTAGCCAGGCTTGGTGCAATCATTTAAACCCAGTGTCCTGGACCTCTATTGGTAGAAGTAAGTAGATCTCTGAGTTTGAGTTCTACATAGTAAACTCTAGGCCAGCCAGGGCTACATGAGACATTATAGAGACAGAGAGACAGACAGAGAGGTATCTTCCATTGAATTTATTTGGAGTGGAGATTCATTCAATTACTGTTTACACATTAACATCTGATTTCAAGGAAATTTACTGGTATTTTTTTTTTATATGTTCAAGTCAGGTGATACTGCAGTAATGGTCACAGCAGTCAGCAAAACAAAACCTTCACCTTCCCAATTCATGCCACTGGTGGTAAGTATTTGCTTATTTATATGAGCCTCTAGAATAGTATATATGTAGAATTTGCACTACCCTGTTCAAGTATGTGAAGTTAAAATTAAACTATATGAGAAAGGCCCTTAGATGTTTGAGGCTGCCTGTTCATTAAGAGAATGAAGTGATTGCTAAGAGTGGCTTACTTCAGAACATCCAGCTTGATGAGGTCAGTGGGAGTGCAGGAGTACTTTGCTGTTAAGGAAGCAATTAATTCATTGTTTTTGTGGGGTTTCTTCCAGTTTGGGTCTACAACTATATGTTAAGAATTCATTAGGATTTTTGTGTCTTTCTAATATGATAAGCAGAAGGCAATTGTGTCTCACAGAGTTGATGCAAGGAAAGCAGGGGAAGGGGCACTATATTTGACTTGGTTAAGGTAAGCTACTGTAGAAAGTCGTGAGACTAGGCAGTCATCTGACTGTTAAGTGAAGGGCTTCTTTTGATTAGTTGATCAAAGCACTCTATATACTTTTCTTCCTGTGAGGGTTTTATTATCTACTTGTAGTTTAGACTATGTTGTTAGCAACCTCAGGAAAATTAATACTTAGATATACTTTGTTACTTAAAAAAGGAGTTGTGTTAACCTTAATTCCTTTTCACTACTTCAGGTGGACTACAGACAGAAGGCTGCTGCAGCAGGTAGAATCCCCACAAACTACCTTAGAAGAGAAATTGGCTCTTCTGACAAAGAGATTCTTACAAGTCGAATAATAGGTAAGCTCTTAGCAGAGGTGCCCCCCTTCTCCACTGTGCCAGTGCTCACCTCACTTCTCTCTGTTCTACAGTCTGCTCAGCTACCTTGCATTGTATGAGTATTACCAGGCATTATTTACTATCTGTTCCTTCACTCAGATGTATGCTTCGCGAGAGGGAAAAATTTGTTTTGTCCCTGCCAAATCCCGAAACCTAGTATAGCCTGGTGAAGAGGCAGTCAGTAAACACTGGCTAAATGAATCTACTGAATGTGTGAAGCCCATGCCCATGCCTGTTCTGTTGTTTATTCTTTGTGGTTTTTCATTTTTATGTTCAACTTAGTAACTCCTAAAAGCATTGTATTCATCAGCTATTGAAGTATATCTATCATCTTCCATGGTGGTTTATTTATTTTTATTTATTTTTTTATTTTTTGTGAAAGAAGAGGCACATGTGGAGAAGGAAGAGGAGGAGGAAGAGGGGTGGGGGGTAGGGGTGGTGAAGAAATGCAGAGCTACATAGTACTACCAGAGAATCTTCCAAATCTGTGACATCTGCAAATACTGTGAAATCATTTGTAGTTTATAGCTTTGTCTATCCAGTAATTGCTAGCTTATATAAATTTACATGTATTCTTTAGTCACAGTAAACCAAAGAAATATGTTCGTTTTGTCTACTATTGGTCCTCAGTCTCTTTTCCTTGACTTTGTTTTAGGTAATGGTCTATATTAGTGAAAGTATTGATGTTTATCAATGCTTTTTTTAACACCTGGCCTTTTAGTTCGTGTCTGTGACATATTCCACAGCTATCTTATTATTTCAATAGTTTTTGTTCTAAAGCGGCTCTGCCAGGGCCATTTAATATCTTGTTCTTGTTTTGACAGATCGTTCAATTAGACCTCTCTTCCCAGCTGGCTATTTTTATGATACTCAGGTAAATGCTGCTTTGTTTGTTACCAGATAGTATATATTTTAACTTATTTAAGTTGTATAATTCTTTCTAGAGGAAGCTTTATAAAGAATTTTGATTGTCTTATGCATTCTATTTTAAATCATTTTGAAAAGCAGTACTTTGAAAAGCCATGTGATTAGTGCATTTCAAGCTGACACCTGAATTATGAATACGAGTAAGTGACTGTTGGGAACTCTCTAGGAAGTTTAAGTGAAAATCTAAAAAGCCCTGTTTTAAGAAATAAATGAGTGTATATAGAGATGGTTGGTGTGCTAGTTGTAAGTAGCCAGATTAGGTGTCTGGGCTTTGTAGGTAAAGTTTGTAGCCCACTAAGACAATTAACATAACTAGTAGTTTTGATTTGGTAAACAAGATCTAAATCTCTATAGCTCAGGCTGGCTTTGAACTCTATGCCTACCCTAGGCTAGCTTCAAACACGTGGTAGTCTGTTTGCCTCTGCTTCCAAGTGCTGAGATTACAGCAGTGAGCCATCATGACCAGCTTGTCACAACTAATTTTTATAACATGTTTATTTCTAGGCTTTCTAAACTTCTGTGGTGATCATATGCTTTATTAGGCATACTTACGTAACCACTTTACTTAACTGGGTTAAGTAAGTATACCTTGAATTTAGCATAGGTACATCTTTGCAATGTGAACTGATAGTAATACAAAAACATAGCTGACATTTACAGGATTTTTGTAGCACACTGCATTTTAGTTCTCATGTAAGCCCCTTAGGAAGATGCTATAGTTTTTCTTTCTAAAGGTAAAGAAACAGAACTGGGGCTATAGCTTGATAGTAAAGCCCTAGGTTCAGCAATGCCTGGTAGCCACACATACCATATATCCTTTTAAAAAAAAAAAAGAGGAGGAGGAGGAAACTCAAGTTTTAAATGTCTTGTGTCAAGGATTTAGTTAAATGATAGCTAACTCTAAGGGATTTGGATATTGAGCATATAGGTATAATATTTTAAGCCAAGTTGCCAATTTAAATTATAATCTTGCAACATCAAGGGCCTTTGGTTGTTGTTGTCTAAATGTCAAATTTGTTTCCTTTATTGCCAGGTTCTCTGTAATCTGCTAGCAGTCGATGGCATCAATGAACCTGATGTCCTAGCAGTTAATGGTGGTAAGTTTAACACCAACTAAAATGATCACTGCTGAATTTGTTTAAACCAATGAAATATGGTAATTTCAGTTTTTTTATTTTTCTCCTTTTTAAAGCTTCTGTAGCCCTCTCCTTATCAGATATCCCTTGGAATGGACCTGTTGGTAAGTTATAGTTTGAAAGTATGAAAGTATTGTTCTTTCAGTAACAATGAACATGTTATTGGTACTGATTTATTACTTGTAAGCTTTCTTTTCAGGCATTTTCATCCTTGCTTTGGGTTTTGTTACCAGTAATCCTGTTCCAGTGCTATTTATTTTATAGCTCTAGATTTCTTGGCTCCAGTTGTATGTTTTCATTCTTTACAGTGGGGAATTACCAGAGTACTCTTTCAAGATAAAACAAACATGTTTGTAACTTATAAATCTTGTAAGTTGCAACCATATAGTCTGCAAATGATTGACGTTTGTAATTATGAAGTGTGATCAGTGCTAGCAGCTGGGTTAAGCACTGAGGTAAAAGGCCATCTGAGTACTAGCAATAGAAAGATTAAAGAGGCTTTTGCTTTTAGCATGGATAAGGGAAAGAGACTAGTATTTATTTACAAACAATACTATTATGATATAGACAAGGAGCTTAGAAAATGAAGATACAGAGGGGAGGTTGTCAGGTAGGGCTTCTCAGAGTAGCCATTGTGTAAGTGGAACATTAGTAGGAGGGGTACAAGCATTTGCTTTGGACAGAATAGTCTGGATATAGAGGAGAGCAGACATAATCAAACAGGTGTGCAAGTGATTGTCTTGAGTGAGTCAGAGCATCCCACTGAGCCCACAAAGTAGGGCAGGATAGGGTATTTGCTGGACCTTAACCATGGGAGAAGTAGAAACTTCATTCTTTTGTCAGAAAGACAGTGATTTGAAGAGAATATTAGAATACTACTGTGAATGCTGCAAGTTTTAAACAGCTGTCAACATTTTAATGTGTTTTAGGAGCAGTACGAATAGGAATGATTGATGGAGAATGTGTCGTTAACCCAACAAGGAAAGAAATGTCTTCTAGCACTTTAAATTTAGTAGTTGCAGGAGCACCTAAAAGCCAAATTGGTAAATAATTCTGGATTTTACTTGCAAGTTGTACTTTCTTCTTTTGTTATTTGTGTCTTTGTTTTTCGTTGAAAAAATACTATATTGGTGAAAGGTTCTCACACAATAACCTTCTTCTTACTTTCTCTAACTAGTTATGTTGGAAGCCTCTGCAGAAAACATTCTACAGCAGGATTTCTGCCATGCTATCAAAGTTGGGGTGAAGTATACACAGCAGATAATTCAGGGCATCCAGCAGTTGGTAAAAGAAATCGGTGTTGCCAAGAGGACACCTCAGAAGATATTTACTCCTTCTGCAGAAATTGTGAAATACACGAATACGTAAGAACACCTGTACAGATGGGCATAGTCACTGGGTTCCAGTTCCTCTAAGGCAATGCACTTGATACTGCTTCACATTCAGTGCTTTCCTGCTTTAAGTCATTACCATAAATGTCTATCTGATACGTAAAGGAAGGTGAAGGCAGACTACACCATAAACTCAGTCCAAGATAAAGGTTTAAATCTTAAATGAAGAGATGTTTGTTGTTTAAAAATCAGATCCTTTATCTCTCCATGTCCAGAGAAAAGAGAATAAAACATGGTGTTTGAATATCTAGGAAACTGTTGGATTTCTCATAAAGAAATGGGTTTGAAACAACCCTACACCCAGTGCTTAGATGGTGCCTAGCAATGCTTAGAACAGAGGCACTGAGTAAATATGAGTGAATCTAAGTTAAATTAAATGGGCAGGAAGGGGAACATAGAGCTGACTGATTTGCCGGAAAGGTGGAGAGAAATCTGTTCTGTGTAATATTAAGCACATTAGCAGTGACATGCAACAACATTTGATCTTTGTGATATGCTTATTATTTAATTTGTAGTTCACTGCTATTTAATAATATGTTTCAGTTAAAAAAACTTCATAGTTCTAATACTGTTTTGCTAACATTTATTTTATACTTAATAGAATTGCCATGGAGAAACTCTATGCAGTTTTTACAGATTATGAACATGATAAAGTAGGTATACCTTAGGTTTTGTTTTAAGATTAATTTTGTTGTAGCTCATACAATTTTGTTTGTGCTAGTAGTTCTAGAGGGGTGAGCAGGTTGGGGGTAGGAGAAATGGGGTTGGCAGGGATGGGGTAAAGAACTTAGAGGGGGACCGGGAAGGGGATAAATAAATAAAATAATTTAATAAAAATTAAAAAAAAAAGGTAAATATCACTGTGAAAAACAAACAAATCTCTCTGGCCATACCTGGGGATCTGGCTCAGTGGTAGATCAGTTGTCCAGCATTCATGAAGCCTTGAGGCAGTAAATAAATAAATCTCTAACAAAATGCTGAAAAAGCAATTCTCTTTTGAGAGCTCACACCCACATTGCCATATGCATCTTGCTTTCTTTCCAATACCTTCTTGTTAACCCTAATCTCTTTTACCTCAACTGGACTTTTCTTTATAAAGCTAAGTCAGAGCCTACTTGTTTGCTATTCTTTCATTAATACACACTTTAAGGAAATGTCCAAATACATATTTGAATTAATTGAATCAGGTTTTAATCTTTCAGGAATGTTATTGCTTTTTCTTGTTACAGTGTGTTATCATGTAACGTAGAAAACAGACATGTGAATGTCCAATGTCAATGCTGTTTTAGGTTTCCAGGGATGAAGCTGTTAACAAGATAAGATTAGATACAGAGGAACATCTAAAGGGTAAGTTCTATTTTCATTTTTAAAGATGTTAAGAGAAAGACATAGCTTTGTTTTTTTTAAAAAAAAAAACACATAGATTTGTTTTCAAACCTTGAAAAACTCAGTTATCTCATAGTTCCTCAGTTTTATTTTAAATTTGTTAGATTAGATCATGGGGTGACTGTTCCATTATCTTCTAGAAGTATAGTTAACACTTTGTTTGAGTAGGTATCTAGAAAATAATGAATGTAAAATGTTCCTTTTTCAGTTGCATCAGGATCTTAGGGTGCTAGTCCTGTAGCCTGTCATTTGAAAATCTAAAAATACTCTTTAAAATTCTTGAGTCAAAAATGAAAAAGCAGCCAGGCATTGTGGCACACACTTAATCCCAACACCCAGGAGGCAGAGGCAGGAGGATCTATAACTTCTGTGTCAGCCTGGTCTACATTCCAGGATAGCCACGGTTATGTAGAGAGACCCTGTCTCAAAACTCAAGCAAACATCCCAGTGGTTGAGGATATAGCTCAGTGGTAGAGTGTTTGCCCACCGTGCACGAAACCTATGTGCAATCTCCAGTACTAAAAAAATTTACAAGAAATTCTTGAGTCTATCATCTAAGATTATAATACCAATAATTCCTGGCTTATGGAGATTAAATTAGTAAGTCATATAATCTGTGCCTGGCACACAGTCATCATTCAGCATTATGCTATTGTTGTTAGTAACATTGTCTGGAATTACAAGGGATAGATTGTTAGAGTAACTCCACACAATTGCTAAGCAGAGTATCTTTGTATCATTCTTGTAACAACTTGAGTATGAGGAAAGCTTGACTTACAGTTCTTGTTTTTTCTAGCAACAGTAAAGTGCCCTCTTGTGGGAAAGTTTATCAGATTTTAAAATAAAAATTATTTTGCTGCATTTAATGCCATGACCTGTAATTGTCTCTAAAATAGCTTAGGTTTTTTTTCTATCCCTTTTACCAAGAACTTTTTGAACAAGCTTGGAATCCTGAGTTTGATATATTTTTTAAATACACAAACAAAAACAACAAGCCAAATTCTAACAACTGGCTTAAAAGCATATGATTTATATGCTTTGTCAGAGGACTAAATGTTTTTCTCCATTGGCTTAACCCCACAATACTTGATTTGATGCTGTGAACACTGGAGAACTTATCTTCCAAAAAGATAAATCCTTTGTTTTAATTTGCCTCTTTTCTATAGAAAAATTTCCAGAGGTTGACCAATTTGAAATAATTGAATCCTTCAACGTTGTTGCAAAAGAGGTTTTCAGAAGTATTATTTTGAATGAATACAAAAGGTAAATATATCTTCCTGTGGTGGAATTGAAGCATCTGCAGGATGCCTTGAAAGTAGCAGCTTGCTTCAAGGAAGGAACTAGTTTCAGTTGAAGAGTAAGGAATAATTTTATAAATAAGCACCTATTGGCAAGTATATGGATTGTGCGGCTGTGGCTATCTCTCGTGATGTATAAATTACACACCTCCAGACATGGATTCAGTGGGACATAGAGTGGAAACCATGTATTTATATTAGTGTTTAAGATTCTAACAAGTTACTGTAGGCAGCTGGTGTTTAAAATTAATGGTAAAGATAAAGAGATCTAATTTTTCAGAGTTCACATATGGCTTTACTGCTTTATTCCAGGTGTGATGGACGAGATCTGACTTCACTTAGGAATATAAGTTGTGAGGTAGATATGTTTAAAACACTTCATGGATCAGCATTATTTCAGAGAGGACAAACACAGGTAGTAAACGTTAGAAAGCTATTTGTTTAATCATAGCTGCTCTGTAGATGCTGTAAATTTTTGTTTTGTGTGTGTGTGTGTGTGTGTGTGTGTGTGTGTGTGTGTTCCTGTATTTGAAGTCGGTGAATCTCTTGTTGTTTACAGCTGCATTATTTTGCCAGGAAAGCTGGCCTATAAGTTTCTGGTGATTCTGTTGTATCTCCCCCCTATCTCTCCATAGGTACACCAGAAGTATGGATACATACCACTGTGCCCAACTTTTTTTTTTTTCTGACACTGGGTATCACTAATGTGTTGTGTCACTATGTAACTCAAGCTGGTCTGGAACTCATGAGCTGCCTGCCTTTGAGTTCTGAATGCCCAAAGTACCAGCATGCATCACTATACATAGCCTTACTGTATTTATTAATATAATTTAAATACTGTTAAGACATAATTTAATGCAGTAAAGTATATACTTTGACATGTATGGAATTTTTGTATGTAGCTTTTGTTGCTTTGTTTCTGGAGTCCCACTATGTGGTTCAGGCTGGCTTGGAGCTCTCTTATAGCTGGACTCACTTGTTTGATTTGATGTGTTTAAATTTATACACCTGGAAAACATTTGCCATAATTAAAAGAACATCATATTGGTACAGGAATATAGCTCAGTGCTAGGGACTTACCTAGCATGTTAGAAGCCCTGGGTTCAGTCCCCAGCACCACAAAAAGAAAGCTCACAAACATGATAATAAATCTCTAGTCAGCCCCAAAAGTATCCTCATGTCTTTGTAGCTCCTTCTTCCTGATTGCTTTCTCCAGGAAACAGCTTTTCTTTCTATAAGTTCATTTCATTTTCCAGGACTGTTGGGTATTTTAATTTTTGTTTTAATATTAAAAGCACCAAGTTAAGTTACTTATTCTCCTTTTTTAGGGTGTATTGTCATTGCTCATCCATTCATGATCCTTGTTTCCTACGTTTACTGCAAACCTGTCATACTCTTTTTCTTTATGTAAATACCTGTTCTGTGGTACTTAGATTGGTTCCATTATCCCTTTGTTCATTTACCTCTATGTATACCCACTGTTTCTATACAGATAGTGCTTTATGCCTCTTTTTCTTACATTAATCACTACTTTCTGTTACATTAGTCACTATTTAATTTTTCTAACCTAATAAGTACAAAGTTGTAGCTTCCTGCTTTAGCTTGTATTTCCCTGCTTCCTAGTGAGAATCTCCTTATGTAATAACCAGTTACTAGGATCACTGTATGAACCACAGCCAGGAAGGGCTGTACACCCTTATTTTCATGTATGTCATTTCACCTAGAGTTGTGTGACTTGAGGCACTAGTTCAAGACATTTTTTGTCTCTCTGTCCAGATTTCTTGATCAGCATTTGTGTTTAATTTTCTATTTTTAACATTGTTTACAGTACTATACCTGCTATTTTGCAATAATTTTTTAGAAATTTTAGATATTAATCCCTTTCAATAACAAACCCCACTTTGTACACATGACTTCATCTTTATCTGCATTTGAACTTTATTACATTTGCCTCTGAAATCTTGAGTTCTGATGTGGTTAGTCTATCTCCTTTTTTTTTTTAAATTGAGCAACAATCCTTATTACCAGAGACAGAAAGTTCTGATGTGGTTAGTCTGTCTCCTTTATTTTTTATTTTTATTTTTTTATTGGGCATCAGTCCTTATTACCAGAGTCAGAAAGGTAGGTACCTATTACTTTCCTTCTATTAGCTTTCTAGTATTAACTGTTAAGTTTGGGCAATTAATATATCTTGGAACATATTCCTTTATATGATATGTATTGAAACTAATTCACTAATCATTTTCCCACTAATTTTTTATAACAACTTAAATTTACAGTTTATAAATACATCTTTAAACTATACTCTCTTCATTGTTTTGTGGATTTTTTTCTGGGCCAGTATCATTTTCATTAAGCCTTCAGGGTTCACCTTAATGACTATGAAGTATATCTTTGCTATATACATACCTTTACATATGAATCTGTTTTAGCTTTTCATGGTACATTGGTTTCTTCATTTGAATGTTAGAAGTATGTCAGTTCTTCATTGGAATTTCACTGAATTAAATATATTCGTTTGAGAAAGAAATGGTATTTTAACAATTTGAAATCCTGCTTACAGTGAATATAGTGTCTCTCACCATTAACTCATTTCCTCGTATCCTTTCAATGAAGTATAAAAATATGTCATTAGATGTGCAGGATATTTTTGTCACCTCTTCTCACAGTCTCTACCTTTTAACTGGAGTGCATGGTCAATTTATGCTTAATTTAATGATTAGTGTGTTGAAGGAGCAGTTTCTCTTAGGGTTTTGGGGAGTTTTTTGTTTGTCTTTAAGCACTTAAAGATGATGTGGTTTTTTTATTTTTTATCTGATAATGAATCATTCAAATCACTCCCTATATATTATTGTTTTTTATGCCAGTGATGTCAGATGTCTTTGGATTTCAGCATACAACTCTGAAAAGGGTGCTTTTCTTGGAATATATTTAGAATTTCAAACTTGAATCACAAGTGTATCTTTTCATTAAGCCTGAGAATTTTCAGCCATTATTTTTTCAACTTTTCCTTATTCTTCTTCCCTGGCATATGCCAGTCTCTTTCATAGTCTCTTAACAGGACCATGTGAATAGGTTCCCTTCAGAGTGGAGGACTCCATTTTCCTTTTCTTTCCAAATTCCTCTTTCCTTAATCCTATGCTTAAGATCAAACCCAGACCATATTAGTTAAGGGCTCTGCCAATGAGCTTCCTCTGACCTCTGGATAATTTATATTCCTGTCTTTTTCTAACTTGTGTCATTATTCAGTGTCTTCAGTTATAAATCTATAGCTGTAAGGAATCTTTGGCTATTAATCTAGACTTCAGTTAAGGATCATTCTCTTCCATTCTTTCCCTTTTCTCTTAAGAATGATGCCTAGTTGCTGCTGGTGCTATACTTTGTGAATGATACAATGTTGAATCTCTAGGCTGTGTTTTAAATATAGAAAGATTAACTTTGTTTTACACTGGAAAGTTTTTGTTTTGTTTTATGAAAATGTGAGGAAGCTTCTTTTATGGAATTAACATTGTTAATCTTCCTTCCTCTCTCCCCCCTCAGTACCACTAGTGAAATGTACTGATGATGCCTTTTGGAGTGTTAAGATTTACAGTCAGCTTTAGTATTTCCGAGTGAATGTATATTTACTGTAATAACTGCCATGGGTAGCACTGTAATGTGTATTATATATTATACTTTTTTTTTTAAAAGAAGAGTTAGATAAGATTATCAGGTATTTTAGTTTTGGCTGGGATTGTAGCTCTGTAGTAAAGCACATGCTTAGTATTCAAGGCCCTTGGTTCAGTCCCCAACACACACACACACTCTCTCTCACACACTCTCTCTCTCTCTCTCTCTCTCTCTCTCTCCTTCTCTCTCTAAAACAAAACAACTAAAAAAAAAAAAAACCAACCAATTACCAAATGAACAGACCAACAAACTACTTATACAAGTATAATACATATTTCCTTTTGATTTTAATCTTTATTGTTAGTATTTTAAAGCTTAAAGAATAATTTGTTTCTTTTTTTTTAAGGTACTTTGTACTGTTACATTTGATTCATTAGAATCCAGTATTAAGTCAGACCAAATTATAACAGCTATAAAGTAAGTTGTATTTTTGTTATATTTTGTGTTATTTCTCTAAATAGTCTTTTGTGTGTGTGTGTGTGTGTGTGTGTATCCTGGTACTTTATTCTAGTCTCATCAGTAGCAAACTCTTTAAAGGTCATTGCTATTCTGTTTGTTTGTTCTTTTGAGATAAGGCCTCAATGTGTAGCCTAGGCTAGCCTCCGGTTTGCAGAATGCTGGAATTATAGATGTGAGCCATCATAACTGACTTCATTACAACTTTTATAGCACACTACATTTTTCTGTTTATACACTTAGGATTGCAGAGAATGCTTTTCTGTTGGTAAACCATATTTTCTTCTAAATTGTTGGAGGACAGCCTAGACACATGAGACCCGGCCTCTAAAAAGCAACAACAAAAGACCTTTTTGGGAGGGAAGGAAAATTGTTTTCCTCAATCAGTCTAGAATTCAATTGTAAGTCTCAGCTGTTGGAAGACATCTCTCAGTTTCTCACGGGGCTGAAGCAGGAGTATTCCCTAAGTGGGGGGTTTACAAACCCCAAGGCCATAAAAAAAAAATATCTTCTCAAAAAAAAAAAAAAAAAATCCCATTCATCTTCTCTTCTTCAAGTTTTGTGTTTCCAACCAACGTATTTTTCTAATATTATAAATTTATAATATTTGTATATTATAAATTATAAAAATTATAATAAATCATTTTTAATGTTTTATAGAAGTAAGTTTGTTTATGTCCTTATAATATTATTCCTTTTTCTTGTAGTGGGGTAAAAGATAAAAATTTCATGCTGCACTATGAGGTAAGATAAATTTTCTCCCCAACATTTTTTTTGTGAAAATGTTCCAAGACAGCAAAATGAAAAGAACTTGGTAGTGGATCTTTTTGTGTCTACTCCCTCAGTCCTCCCCTTAACATTTTATTATGTATCTGTGACATATCAGCCCTAACTCCAGATCCAACACCTTCTGGCTTCCACAGACACCAGCTACACATTAACATAGACATACATACAGGCAACAAAATAAAATAAAAATAAATAAATCTTTAGGTGAAATAAATTACCATAACCTTTTCTACCCTCTAATCTACTTACATAATACAAATAGTTAATTTTACTAATATGATACATACTTTGGATTTTTTTTCAGTCACCTACCAAATAAATACATATAGGCAGACTGAGGATGGACAGACAGATAATATACTTTTTAGAACCAAAGTGAGGTTCTATTGTACTGTAATTTGTTTTATTGTTTTGTTAATGTATCTGAGGCCTTCCCATGTCACTAACATGTGTATATGTATTTGCTTTCAAGTTTCCACCTTACGCAACCAATGAAACTGGCAAAGTTACTGGTGTAAATCGAAGAGAACTTGGACATGGTGAGTACAATTCTAAGTGTGTATTATAGTCTTAGAGAGACTTGGTGCTTTTTGCTTAATGTTTCCTATTCTGATTCAGGTGCTCTTGCCGAGAAAGCTTTGTGTCCTGTTATTCCCAAAGATTTTCCTTTTACCATAAGAGTTACATCTGAAGTCCTCGAATCCAATGGTATGATGCTACAATATTTCTTTCCTAGTAGAAAAGACTAGATTCCCTGATGCAGTCTTAAGTTTCTAAGGTTATGTTATATCATGTTTACTACCACAAAGTCTCAAGCCTGCTGTAGGAAAAAATGTTAAGTTGATCTGTTCTTAGCTATTAAGTTATTTTGAAAGCACTCTAAAGCAAGCATTTTTTCTCTTTTTGCTTGTATTATAATACATCTAATTTTGGTTGCTGTTTATTTTTTGCAAACAAGCAACAGAGCAAGATAAGCTTGGAGAGAATAGCAGTCAAAACAAATGATCCCTTGAACAATCTCTTACCAGTGATAAATAATAAGTGGACACCAAGAGAGAAACAGAGCTAATAGGTCAATATTAAATAAAATAAATTAGCTCATGACTCCAGATTAGGTCTTATCACTGAGGCAGAATGGTCACAGACTTCTTCAGTGTCTAGCAGTCATATCAGGTGGTTGGTCACAAATTTTAAAGCAAAACACTAAAGTTAGCTCAGAATCTAAACTGAAGACTTTTCCGTTCTCCACTAATTAGGACTTGACCTCTAGTCCAATGAGAGCTAGGGCTCTTGTATTTGTACCTTCTGATTAAGGCAGCAGAAATATTGCTAGGCCTGAAGGTTTCTTGAGTTCAGAGTCTCTGCAGCAAAACTCCACAATAATATTCTTTGTAATAATGAGAATCCTGTAAATGACTCAGTGGAGAATATAAACTTACTTCAGAGAAGATAAACTTATTTCAATTAATTTAAGTAACTACTTGTTGCCTAGTGGTTACCATATTGTTCTCTGTAGCCTTGTCCTTTGTAACTTAAGAGAGATTGACTTAATGCTTTTATATCTTTATTTGTTTATATATTGGTGTAGGTGTGAGTGCTGAGGTTGCAAGTGACAGAAACTTATGTGTATAGACACACAGAAGGCAGGGGGGGAAATCAAATGTCCTATTCTATCAGTCTTTGCCTTGTTCTTTTGATACAGGGTTTCTCACTGAACCTAGATCTAGGCTGGCAGCCAGCAAGACACACTGATCCTCCTGCATCTACCTTGTGACACTTGGAGGTCCATGCACATTTGGCCACTCACCCAGCTTTTTTTAATGGGTGCTAGGAATTCAAACTCTAGTTCTCATACTTGCACAGCATGCACTCTTACCCACTTAGTCATCTCCCCGTCCATCAAGTGAGTTTACAAAGAAGGAAGACTACGGATTATGTTCTAGTATAATATTTATAAGGAAATAAGCAACACTAGCTTTAAGAAATTAATATATTACAACACAAGTGGTTCTTTAATTTTTCCTTTCCCAATAGGGTCATCTTCTATGGCATCTGCATGTGGTGGAAGTTTGGCATTAATGGATGCAGGTAAAGAATTATGTCTGAAAACTGTTAGTATTTTACATATATATTTCATTAGTACAGAATATAAGATTTGTTTAGATTAGATTTAATAAAAGTCAAGATCATAGGCTAGACATAATATAATTACATCAGAAAGATATTATCTGAAGCTCTTATTTTTAGCTAAAAAACACTGGAAATTTTTAATGCACTGAAAATTGTAAATACTTGCCTTGGTGACCCAATATACTTTCTCAGCTTACAAAAATGGGGACTTCCAGAATTGATTATAGTCAATAAAGCAGTTTCAATTAGTAAACAAAAGCATTTAGAATCCATGAGAGAGTAACCATGTAGTCTCTGAATCAGTTTACAGTGGCCACTATATTGGAGAGGTTAGCATTCTAAAAGTACACAGAGAGTCATATAGGAAGGAATACTGAAAGTAGCTTGATGCAACCCCGAGTCTGTGACACGAAAAGAGAAAGAGTTTATATTTTAGGTGTTCAACACCCATTTCTGGTAGTTACAGTGCTATTCAAAAAGGAAGAAAAAAGGCATCCGAAGGTATTATAGAGGGCACACAATGATGTCTCTGTTGAGCTTGAACATTTACAACACAAATGTGAAATCTAGAAAGGAGGATAATCCAAAGAGCAAGTGAGTATATTTTAATGTTACTTACAAACAGTAAAACTTAAAACAGGCCAAAGCAAAAACTGCTAATGATCTTTTCCCAGTTCTATTCAGCAGAGGTACATATATTAAATTTTCTATTGTTTGTCTTCATTCATTCATTTTACAAATCTTCACTATGTAATACCTATAAATCAAACACTGATCTAAGTCCTTGGGACATAGTGATTAGCAAAAAGTCATGTGTCTTCATAGACGCTGAATTTCTCAGCCAAGTCTCATATTTTAAAAAGAGAGAGAAAAAAAAAAAAAGCAGCCAAGAATCATGGTTTAATTCCAGCACTCCAGAGATAGAAACAGGCAGATCTCTGAGTTCAAGACTGGCCAAAGTGACTTAGTACGATTCTGTTTCAGAAGAAAACTCAGAAAAGATTAACTGAAAGGCAAAAGACTTTCTTCTGCCTCAGAATGTTATATAGTTCAGACTTGCCTAGGACTCCTGATCTCTGACCTCTACTTCCCAAGTGGCTGGGATTACAGGACAAAGACCTGTGTAAGGAAATGTAAGAGGATTCCAGGTTTAAAATAATGAGTTATACTGCCAGTGGTGATGCACAGGCATAAGGTATAGGCAGTTGTTGCTTTTGCAAGACTATACTTTCTATAAAATAGAACTATCAGACTTCATAAGACTCTTAAGTAGTTCATAAAAGACAGTTGTAGGGCTGGATACATGTAAGAGGAAAGAAAGGACCTTGATTTGGTTCCCAGTTCTTATATAGTAGCTTATAACCATCTGTAACTCCAGTCCTAAAGTATCTTATGCCTTCGAGCCTTCTGGGCACTAGGCCCACATAAATGCAAGCAAAACACCCATACACATACAATAACTAAATAAAATCTCTTTAAAAGGGAGTGGGGTGGGTGTATTTTAGAATGGAAAGTGACTAGAAAAAGGAGCCAGACGATATTAAAGAGAAATAAATAATGTCTGTAGTTCACTTTGTTGTTATTTCTGGGGTTGGGGGAGCAAAATTCCAAATGAGGTGGAGGGATACTGTTATCTAGAAATCTATCTTATCAGTGTAGGTATCTTTATGTAAATGATGCAGAAATTTATACTAAATAATAGATAAATCATCTATGCCTGGTAGAAAGATAAGCAAAGAGAAGTGGTTAATTTAATCAGTGTATAGGAGAGAGGTACCACAGGAGAGAGGTACCAGGTACAATAAAGGATGCTTCATCATCCCTTTCCCTTTCTGTAACAACAATGACCTCTCACTATAAAGGATGTTGTAAAAAGGAGTAAGGGAAGCTGTAATCCCAGCTTCTGGTGGCAAGATAGCAAGTCTGGGACCAGCCAGAGCCACACAGCAAGTCTCTGTCTCAAAAAGAGAAGAAAGAAAAAGGAATGGTAACTAATGTATTAAATGATAAAATCGATTCATTTTTTGACAGAGTCTCACTATGTAACCCTGGCTGTCCTGTGGATCAAGCTTGCCTTGATCTCACAGAGATCTGCCTGCCTCTGCTCCACTTCTAGAGTGCTGGGATTAAAAGAGTATACCACCACATCCAACTAAAGTTTATCTCTTAAAAAAATTTTATATATATATATATCTCAAGTACTGTAGAAAGGGTCAAGAAAGTATGCAGTTTAGTTCAAAGAGATAAGTGCTTCTATGCCCTAAGCCAGGCCTGCACACTGGTGACACAAATGGAATCTGTTTTTTAAAAACTTTAAGGTACAAAAATGAATATAAAATACCAGTGAGCAAATTGATAAGTATGTCTATTGCACAGTGAAAAATAATAAATTAGGTTGAGAATAACCTAGTTAGAGGCCATGATATTTTTCCTGGTTTAAAGGTTGAATAGTCAGGTTAAGATCAGGCATATTGAAAACATGGCTTAGAGTTCACATGGACCGAGTAGCCTATGCAAAATGATGAAGTTATAAAATAGCATGGTTATGTTTCTGAATGTATTCAGAGGAACCACTGAAGTAATAAATGAACCAGATCTTGAAGGCCACTTGAGCAGGGTAAAACAGGTTTGTTTGTTTTGTTTTACTTCCTCTTTTTTAAAGATTTGTTTATTTTTATTTTATTTGTATGTGTGAGTACCTGTATGTATATATGTAAACATCACATGCCTGCCTGGTAGCCTCAAAAGTCAAAAGAAATAGTTGGATCTCCTGGATCTATACTTTCAGGTGGTTATTAGCTGACTGATCTAGATGTTGGGAACTAAACCCAGGTCCTCCACAAGAGCAGCAAATGCTCTTAACCACTGAGCCATTCTTCAACCCTTTCTTTATTCACTTATTTATTTGAGATGGGTTGTTGCTTGTTTTGTATTTTGAGACACGGTTCCATGTAGCCCAGGCTGGCCTCAAATTGAGTATATATATAGCTGAGGATGTCTTTGAACTCGTGATTCTCTTGCCTTCACCTCCCAAGTGCTGGGATTACAGGCATGAGCCATCATGTCCACCTTAAGCGGATTTGTTTAATATGAATTGAGTAGACTCATTATGATCACTGAGTCTCTAGGAACAGAATATATACTATCTCTCTATATTAGTTACTTTTCTGTTGCTGTGATAAAACACCATGACCAAAGCAACTTGTGCAAACTAGAGAATTCCCTTTAGCCTATGACTCCAGAGAGGTAAAAGAAAATCCATCGTGGCAGGTAGAAGCGTGGCTGTAGGAACAGGAAGCTGAGATCACACATTCAATGGCAGAAACAAAGCAAAGAAAACAAACTGGAAGTGGAGCCAGTCTGTAAACTCTAAAAGCCTGCCTCCACTGATACACTTCCTCCAGCATACTCTAATCAACCCTCCAAACAACACCACAAATTGAGGATGAGGTGTTCAAATACTGAGCATATGAGGGACATTCTCATTCTAGCCACCCAGTGTCCAAAACATTTTAGGACCCCCAGTTTGGAGCTAGAACCTAATTTTGGTTCCCAGCACCCACTTCTGCATATAACATCAGCTCTGAAGGATTTGATGCCCTCTTCTGGTCCACAGCATAGCACACTCACTTACAATTTAAAAATCTTTTAAAATAACAATATCTAGCTTGAGGGTATAATAGTGATACAGTGCTTGCTTAGCATGCAGGAGCATTTGCTCTAAGCATCCCATCACCATAACAGACACAAATATAAAAGCAGGTTATGGAGAACTTAAAGGGTTGTATATTTTATTATTTACTTAATTAGATTCTGTTTTGATAGAGAACTCCAGGAAAGTTTGTCTAAGCAGATCTAGGCCTTGGCCAAGAGATCCAGGTGAAAGGACTAGGCAGTTAAAATACCATTGTAGGAGCTGGTGAGATAGCTCACTCGTGCTCATTCAGAGGACCTGGATTTGGTCCCAGTACCCATATGGTGTTTTATAACCATCTGTAACTCTAGTTCCAGGGAATCCATTGCCCTCTTATGGCATCCACATGCAAAGGCAGACACATCTCTGTGAGTTCAAGGCCAGCCAGGACTATACAGTGAGATTCTTGGTTTAATTAGTTTGTAGCCATACATGGTAGTACATGCCAGTGACCATAGCACTTTGCGAGGCTAAGACAAGAAGATTGTGAGTTTGAGATAACCCAATACCCAGCTACACAGTAAAATCTTATCTCAAAATAACAAGGAAAACATAGATATGTACTTTTAAATGTTTATTTATTACATATATGGGGATTAGTGTGCTGTAGGTTGGTTATGAATTAAAAAGGGCAAGATATCAGATAATGTACATAACATGTTTCTCACAAATAAGAATTTAAAGACTATGATTACATTTAGTTGTATACACAAATTTCCTAGAAGGCTATATTAATAGTTCTGCTATGGGGAGGTGAACTGAATGAAAGGTTCAGGCTTAGAAAATTTAACAAATATAGAGTTAGAAGAAAGAACCAAAGCAAAATAGCAGGGCATACATAAGAGTTTGCTCTATTGGGTTTCTGGCAAGTATAGATATTACCTGTTGCTTTACAGGCATTATGTTTTTATTTACATTATTTATGATAGGTATTTACATTATTAAAGGATCAAAATGAACTGAAATAGGGCCTTTTCAACTCAATTTGATAATTTAGAGAACACTATCTTCTTATATTAAAATAAAGTCAACAGAATTTCAGCCTGTTTTATGCTACTACATGCATTATATACAAACCTTTGGTTGTTGTTGTTTTGCATTGTAGGAGTCCCAATTTCATCTGCTGTTGCAGGTGTAGCAGTGGGATTGGTTACCAAAAACAATCCAGAGAAAGGTGAAATAGAAGACTATCGTTTGCTAACAGATATTCTGGCAAGTATATTCCCAGTTTGAAACACAAGTATATCTATAAAAGTGCATGCTTAGACCAGGCATGATAGCATACACCTTCATTGGCTGAGGCAGAAAAATGACTAGTCCTAGTCTAACTGAGACTACAAAGCAAGTTCCAGGCCAACCTGGGTCATGTGGAGAGACCCTGTCTCAAAAAATAAAAAGTTAAAAAAAAAATAATAATAAAGGCATATAGAAGACTCAGCCTAGAACAGTGGTTCTCAATTTGTATGTCACAATCTCTTTGGGGAGGGGGGGAACATCCCTTTTATAGACCATCAGAAGACACAAGACTATCAGAAAACATAGATATTTACATTATGATTCATAATAGCAAAATTACAGTCATAAAGTAGCAACGAAAATAATGTTATGGTTGGGGGTCATCACAACATGAGGAACTGTATTAAAGGCTCACAGCATTTGGAAAGGTTGAGAACCACTGCATTTCAGGAATAGAGCAGTGTTTATTTCCTCCATTTGCCTTGGATTTTAAAGGATATGTATTACTATATACTTATCCAGAATGGGTCCCTTAGGGATAATTCTAAATTAATTTTTTATGTATTTTTAGAAACAGGCATGAGCTAAACATAAAGTGATATTTGCAGTGACAAGCTTTGTGTGATGGAACAGCAATCAAGCAGCAGAGGTGGCTCTTTGCATTTAACGTTAGAGGATACAGCTTACTTCCAGAGCTAGAATTTGAAATTCTTCTACAGTGACTATGGGTGAATTTGTTTTGTTTAAAACTTTACTATAATTTCTTAAATTGTTGAAGGGAATTGAAGATTACAATGGTGACATGGATTTCAAAATAGCCGGTACAAGTAAAGGAATAACTGCATTACAGGTATTTTTGAAAGACATCCTGTTTCATGTTTTAAATATTTAAATAATGGCATGAGCTACTATTTATTTTTGGCTGTTCTATATTAGGCTGATATTAAGTTACCTGGAGTACCAATTAAAATTATAATGGAAGCCATCCAACAAGCATCAGGTAAGTCAGTGTGCCTTGTTCCTCTCTCATTTCTGTCTAGTCTGTTAATGCCACCTACAATTCCCACTAAACTTACTATTCAATGTTGCTTTCAAAATTCAGCATAGCTGACTGGCAGAATGCTCACCTGTGATGTATAAGGAGTTGGGTTTGCTCCCCAGCACCATTGAAACTGGCAGAGTTGCAGCAATGTAACTTAACATGATCACATATTAATTATTGATCACACTGACTACTCAAATGATAGAAGAGTGAAATTTTAATTTCTACAAAGTAAGAAACTTTCTGAGTTAGTTTGGAAAAGTGAGTGAGGAATAGAAGTAACTTTCTAAGATGACTGAAATATGAAGATTTTTCATTAGTGAGCTAGAGTCTGGATTGTACACCATAGAAACTATCTCAAATCATACTTACTTGATAGAGTTACAATTTCTATTATGTTGCTTTTTCTTTTTCTAGTGGCAAAGAAGGAGATACTGCAGACAATGAGCAAAACGATTTCAAAACCTCGAGCATCTAGAAAAGAAAATGGACCAGTTGTAGGTAAGATATTAAAATTATTACTGATAGCTTGATAATATTAATATTTAAACAGTTACTACTATTTTAAAACATTTTTCTCCTAACAAAATAAACCTATTTAAGTACATTCTTGATAAATATTTTCAAAGAAAAATTCTTTTACGGTTATTCATTTGCGTGTATATGTAGGTGAGGCATGCATATGCCACATTTTATGTCTGTTGCTCAGAGTCCAACTTGTGGGACTTGATTATCTCCTTCCACCTTATGAGCCTGGGAATTGAACTTAGGTTATTAGGCTTGGCAGCAAATGCCATTTCTGACTTAGCCATCTTACCAGCCCTAGAAAAAAGATTTTAAATATTCTTTCCATAAAAATATGGAAAGTGAGAATAGATACTTACACTATGAATACATGTATCAAAAGTCACAATACCAAAAATTTCTGTGTTCTTATATATTATTTTTAAAAAGAATTATGTATATTGCAAGAAAAGCAAACTTTAAAGTTGAGAACATACTCTTGTACATTTTTCATTAATATTAGTCAAACAAATTTCTCCTCATAATGAAAGGTTTGTACATATGTTTAGGTTCGTATATGCCTTTTTTACCTATTTGTCTGTATTACATTTCAGAAACAGTGAAGGTTCCATTATCAAAACGAGCAAAATTTGTTGGGCCTGGTGGATATCACTTAAAAAGACTCCAGGCTGAGACAGGTAAGAGTTAGCTGTAGTTTGAGGGTTCAGTTCATCACACTTCTTTCACATTTAAAATTGGAAATTCCCAAGTAATTTTTAGTTTTTCACTAGAAGGGGTTATTACACACTCTTACTTTTACTGCTTTAACTTAGTTTCATTCAGAATCTTTTTGTTTAAAGAATATATACAGAGGCCAGGTGTGGTGGTGCACGCCATTAATCCTAGCATTCCTAGAAGAATGTTTAGATGGCCTAATACTCATTTTGGGCTTATAAAGGACAACAAGAAGCAGAGTTGCTTTAACCAGTGTTAAGAGTGAGAAATTCGTCGGGCGGTGGTGGCACACGCCTTTAATCCCAGCACTTGGGAGGCAGAGGCAAGCAGATTTCTGAGTTCGATGCCAGACTGGTCTACAGAGTGAGTTCTAGGACAGCCAGGGCTATACAGAGAAACCCTGTCTCAACCCCCCACCACCACCAAGAAAAAAAATAAATAAATAAAACAAGATAATGAAAGTATTCTGGTGTAATTTCTAGTCATAATTAAAGAGCAAAACAAAAGCCCTAAAAATTAGCCTAAAAAAATATGGTAGAACATGGTTTACTATTATATCCAGAGTCTAGTAAAATGCCAGGTACCTGGCAGCAGAACAGTGTATGCTTCATGGTGAGCAATTCCCTTCACTAAGGAACAATCATTAAGCATGCAAGGAACCCAACCCAGCTGCTTTGAGGTCCCTCCCCTATTCTCATAGTTGCTTTTTAGATTAGTCACCTCTGGTAATGAGATTGCTAATTTTAATGTATTAAGTTACCTCTTTTTTGTCCCTCTCACCCCTCACCATGATGCTGGGTTTCTTCTAAAGGTGTAACAATTAGTCAGGTTGATGAAGAAACCTTCTCCATATTTGCACCAACACCTACTGCAATGCATGAGGCAAGAGACTTCATTACAGAAATTTGCAGAGATGATGTAAGTATATATCTTATGATAGTTTTTCCCTATTTCTACTGTTATCCTTATTAGTCTAATGGTTTATTTTACACTTTACAGCAAGAGCAACAGTTAGAATTTGGAGCAGTTTATACCGCTACAATAACCGAAATCAGGTAATTCAAGTAAATGATGGGTTCACTTTTAAAAGACTTTTACTGCAAGCCCAGACTCACTTCATATTTAGATATATGCCAGTAGCTGGGGGTGGGGGGGGGGTTTAGGGAGGGGGGAGAGGAAGATGGAGGGAGAGAGAGGGAGAAAAAGAGAAAGATGGGGGTTGGGGGATATTTGTATATACGACAAGCAAGGTGTCTAGCCCAGACTGGATTAAAAGTCAGTATGTAGCTGAGAGTGACTCTGTTTTGTATTCTTTATTCTTGTGTGTATGGATGTTTTGCTTGCATGTATGTCTGCTCACCGTGCAGTGCCTGACGAGGAAAGAGGGTGTTGAATTCCCTGGAATGGAGTTAGGTGGTTGTGAGCCACCAGGCAGGTGCTGGGAATTTAAACCTGAGTTCTCTGGAAGACCAAGAAGTGCACTTAACCACTGAACTGGGCCTCTAGCCCCACCACCTTTTTGTATTTTGTTGTGCTTATTATTTGTTTTATATATATGGGTGTTTTGCTTACATGTATTTCTTGCATCATGTGTGTGTCTGGTATCTACAGAGGCCTGAAGAAGGCATCAGAGTCCTTTGAACTAGAATTACAGACCAATGTAAGCAGCCATGTGGGTGTTGAGACTCAAACCCAAATCCTCTAGAAAAGCAGCAATACTCTTAATTGCTGAGCCAATCTCTCCAATCGTTTCTGAACTTCTGATCCTTCTGCTTCTACCACCTTGACTAGTTTATGTAATGCTGGGAATCAAACTCTGGGCCTTGAGTATATGAGTACTATACCAATTGAAGCTACATCCCCAGCCTCATGCAATCCTTTTTTTTTTTAGCTAAATTTTATTTTCTATCCCACTATGTAGGTTTTCAGTAACATGGTTCTATGACAATAGATTCTTCTGCCAGAATTTTTTCCTTAAACCAAAGTTTCTACCATATTTTATTTTCAAACACATGTTCTACCATTCTACCATAATTTTCTTGGCAAACAGCCTAAAACATACAGATAGTATTCTCTTTTCATTGTTATTGTTTCTGCAGATATTAATACTTAACTAGCGCCTATTTTCACAACCTCAAAGTATTTTTATCAGCTGAAATTATCTCAAGATACCATTTTCAGGGTGGGGGGTAGAAAGGGAATGGGACAATCTAACATTACAGGTAAAAAAAATAAGCAATATAGTTGGTTGCTTTCAGACTAGAGAAAAAAGGAAGAGAACTTTTCCCAGCCATCTGTATATAACTCTGGGTCCAGGAGATCTAATGCCCTCTCTGACCTCCACAAGCACTAGGCACACATGTGGTACACAGACATATATATTTACATACATGCAAAACATTCACACATATAAAGTAAATCTAAAATAATAAAATTTCATAAATTTTGAAGAGAGACCCGGGCTTCTCTTTTTCTCTCCTTCTTGGTCATTTGATTCACAAATATGATTCATAAATATAGGGCATAATTTTTATATTGGAAAAAAAAGGATTTGGGGTCAGGATATGTAGCTTATTAGGTCTTATGTATGAGGTCTTGGGTTCAATCCCAAGCACTATGAAGACAGGAAAGGGGGGAGAGAGTCTAAGAGACAGAGGGAGAGGGGGGATGAGAGAAATATATTTGTTGCATGGTCATAATTTTTATAATTATGAGAATATATCCTAGGAGCCAGGCAAAGTGGCACATGCCTTTAGTCCCAGCTCAGGCAGGGGCATATGGTTTTCTTTGAGTTTGAGGCCAGCCTGGTACCCTGTCGCCAAAAAACAAGAATATATCCAAGAATATGGCTTGGGATTTGTTTGATACTCTTCTTCTTTAAGATCATAGGTTCTGTTTGTTAGTACACATACTTATGTTTTAACCAAGCTGATATCTTTTTGTAGAGACACTGGGGTAATGGTAAAGCTGTATCCAAGCATGACTGCAGTGCTACTTCATAATTCACAACTTGACCAACGAAAGGTAAAAGGAAAACCTAATTTGTGGTGGATATGTGCTGTGTCAGTATGTGCATGTGTGCATGGAGGTAGAAGAAGGTATCAAGTGTCCTCCTCTGGGACTCCCTACTTTATTCACTTGAAACTTGATCTCTCATAACCTGCAGTTTGCCATTTCTCACCTAGTCTGGTGGCTAGCAAGCTCCAAAGAACTTATCTCTCCTTATTCCCCACAGCACTGGTGTCACAGGCACATGCTCAACTATCCCTAGCTTTTTATAGATGCTGGGGATGTGAACTCATTTTTGTGCAACAAGTATTCTCATCTTTTCACACTATCTTCCAACCCAGAGCTGACTATTTCTAATTGTTAAAAACAATATTGAAATCAACCAAATTGTTGAGAATTGTGTATTTTGCCTATTAATAGTTTCAGTATACAGAATACACATATGCTTTCACTTAGATTCCCCAGCCACTAACATTTGCAGTGGCGAAATCTAAAACAATGAACAGCCCTCTTGATAGGACTATAGTTTGAATATTCACTTATTACTCACTTATGTTTCAGTTATTCACTCTTAACATTGAGTGAGCTGCTTTCCTAGTCCATGTTTATCAATGCACACAAAAGTTATCTACAAAGAGTTTGATGTAGCCTTCATTTTCTTCTACTTTGATATTTTCGATTTTGCAGAAAAACAAAAATAGCTGTTCACTTGGGGAAAGATGTTTACTTTTCTGGTTATTAATTATATATAACTAATATATTAACTTTTTTTCAGATTAAACATCCCACTGCCCTAGGATTAGAGGTTGGCCAAGAAATTCAGGTACCTGTGTTCAATATATCATCTTTAAAGGTGTAAATTGTGCTTCAAGTTCCAATTAGTCTTTTTGAAAGAGTAGAATAAACACTTTTAACTTGTATCTCTGCACAGTGCTTTTTATAAGTTAGGGTAGCTTAACCAGACTTTCTAAGTGAGGATTTAAAATAAGACTCTCTCCCTCAAGGGGATTCTCATTCTCTGTCTATCTGTCTCTCTGTCTCTCTGTCTCTCTCTCTCTCTCTCACACACACACACACACAAAGAAAAAAACCTTTAGAGCTATGCAGACCATCATTCGGTGATAGACTCGATAACATGGTTGAAAGCCTTGTCATCTTTGAGTGGTTGAGCCTTTGTACTTGACATGTTTTTGAACTTATTAAGGATAATGTTGCTGGGGCCTAGAATTCTGATAATAAAACTGACCTTGTCTTGTAGTCCTCGATCAGTGAGTATAAGTTGTTCATAATCTGGTGTGTTGGGTACACCACATTCTGTTCTGGTTATAACTGAGTAACTAAGGCCATAAGTTTATTCCCAATCTGTACTCCTATTCTTTAAGCAGCTTTGGTGAAAGATGAAACCCAATACAGCATCCATCCACATAATGTTTGTTTTTTACATCAAAGAGGACATTAAACCTGCTGCATTTCACCCTTGTTTGCATTATCCATGGAAAAATATACTCTAGTATAATAGTCCCTGAGTAGTCGAGAAAGTGTGGGTGATGTAAGCACCCTACCAAATTTGTAGAAATGGGTTTAGAAGGCCCTATATGAATCACAACTGTAACTTTCATCTCACAGTATAGGGACCTACAAAACATTAAAAGGCACAGCTAGTTTACCAGAAGACTCAAATTTTTGCTGGTTAGTTAGTTGGCTTTGGGTTTTTTTGTTTGTTTTTTGTTTTTTTGTTTGTTTTTATAAATAAGATCTTACTATTACTCAATGGGCCTGGAGTTCATTGTTCAGTAGCTCAGGCTATCCTCAAATTCAAGCAAGCTTCCTACCAACAAGTGCTAAGATTACAAGCATATGGAAATATGCATGGATTCTTTTTACTTTTTATAAAAGCTATGTAACCAGATTATATTTGTTGAGTGTATCTCTACATAGAACTAAGCTGTGCTTTTATTAGACATATATTATAGACAAATATTAATTACTGCCTTATTTGGACAACATAAATCTAAATCTTTGAGATTACATGTCAACTTTAATCTGTTTCTTTAATATAGGTCAAATACTTTGGCCGTGATCCAGCTGATGGAAGAATGAGGCTTTCTCGTAAAGTACTTCAGTCTCCAGCTACAACTGTTCTCAAAACTCTAAATGATAGAAGCAGCATTGTAATGGGAGAGCCTATTTCACAGTCATCATCTAATTCTTCCCCTTAACTCCTTTTTGAAATGGTATTCAATGGCAATATTCTGCAGAGCAAATTTTAATAGTACTGTTTACTGTGTAGATATATAATTTAAATATAATTATTTGTATTAAAATGCTTATTTCATGTGCCTTTTTTATTTCAGGAGTAACCTATATTTGTTTACTCTTATTTGGATATAAATTAATAAATATTTATTATTAAAAGTAAGCTATTTTTATATCTTAGGAAAGATTACCTTTCTGTTCCTGTAATTGTGAACTATTGAAAAATAATAGATCCTTTACGCCTTCCTAAGGATCTTTTATTATTCTTCTCTTCATATATGGTAACAGCCACTCCCCTTAGTCTGTCTCTGCTCATCAGCCGTGCTTGCCTACTACTAGTTTACACACTAGAACTTGGCATTTTGAAAGCCAGAACCTGTTTTTTCAGAGCAATTACACATTTAATTGGAGGGAGCTAATTTGATTCAATTTCTAATGATTTGTCTTTCAAACTGGTCACAAGACCATAAATACAGTGAAATGAATCGTATAAATGGAATTCTTGCTAGAGTAACTTGCTTTTTTAAAATTACCTAATATAAAGATTATTGATGTAATATCTAGAAATAACTGATAACTGTCAAATCCATTGCCCTTTTTTTTTTTTTGAGACAGGGTCCCTAGAACCCATTAGACCAGGCAGAGGCAGGCCTAGAACTGAAATCCACCTGTCTGACACATCATTCAAAGGAGTGAGCCACTATACCCAGCTCATTGCTGTAATTTAAAACATGCTACTAGTCCACAAAAAGTAAATACTACATAATTTAGACTGTGTTCCTTTTATTAATCTTATAAAATATATGTGAATTTTTTTATTTGGGGCTGATTTATAAGATATTAAACATGTACTTGTCCAAGCCAAAGATTTTTAAGATATGTTTATACTTAAAGTCAGTAAACATTATTCTGTTTAAAAGAGCATATTAGACAGTTTTGATACATGTTCTGAAATAGTGAAATAACTAAAAATGAATAATTAAATTATTTCTGTAATTAATATACTGTTATTTAGTAATAATGACCACCATAATCCTTAATTTAAGGGACAATAACCTTTAGTGGTAGGATTTCTACATTTTAATTTGATTTTCTTAAATTTGCTTTTATTTTTCAAAGGTATGCTAACTGCTAACAATTTGGAAAAACCAAAGCCAGTTCTTGGAACTCCAGGGGTGTGCCACAGAATTAAATGGACGGCTCACTAACACCAACAACAGAAGCATCATCATTTCTGCTTAAATCAGGAGCTTACCACTCGTGCCAGAGCATCTGCTCATCTTTATTTAAATCATGGTAGTTTTTCATAATTTCTAAGTATTTAATCTGGGACTATCATATGCCCAAAACTAATTTATAGTGTCTGCAAGTTGTTCCTTTATGACTTTTATTTTGACATACCATAAATTAGTGTTCAATTTTTTTTACATTTATTTATTTTGTGCACTTACAAACTACTATGCATGTGTGGGAATCAGAATAACTTAGGAGGTGGTTTTCTCCTTCCACTTTGTGGGTTCCAAGAAACAAATTCAGGTCATCAAGCTTACAATAAGCACCTTTACCTGCCGAACCATCTTCCTGGCTCAAACCATGGATTTGATGTGACTGTTTTCCTTCCCTTCCTGAACATCTTAAACTTCTGGATCTAAGAAGCATGAACATCAGCAGCTGTCTCATTCAACTTAGCCAAACTAAATTCATTCATTCATCATTTACCATGGACTTAGGACTATGACATGTGCAGTGATATCAGCAAGCAGAGCTAAAGTTCTAACATGCTTAGTAAACAAGTATGTAACACATGACACAGTGGCAGATGCTTTAAATTAGAAAGGCATTTGAATAAAGGGTTGGAGTGATCTGTCCTAGTTAGGTTTCTATGCTTTGATACAGTCCATGATAAGTTGTTGTTTCTAATGAAATGATACAGAGCCACCTCAGTGAATAGAATTTAAAAGGAGACCTGAATGAATTAGAGGAAGCAAAATGTAAAGATATTTTGAGACAGAGAATTTCAGATAGAGGTCTTCACTCCAGAAGCAAAAATAACTCATTTTAGAAACCAATTTTTTTTAAAAAAAAAAAAAAAGCTTAGTCTTTGCTTTGTATTAAGAGTATAACAAGTAGAGATAGCAGGTAATTATTTTCAAAACATTTAATCAGGCAAGCATATGCTTAGTCATTTTCAAGGAAAGAGAATCATGAGCAGGCTTTGACAAATGCTTTCTTGTGAAAATTGACAAGATGACAGGCAGTAGAGATGGGAAAGAAAATATAAAAGACTCATTGTCAGGGGATAAAAAGCAATGTAAGTTAAAAGTGAAACAAATCCCATACCCTACACTTAACTGACAGCAAGACTCAGTAGTAAACAAAACCAGTTCTACTTGATTATCTTGTGGGGAAGTAGACTATAAACTTGAAAGAAGAGAAAGCAGTTACACTGCTAACTTTAGTCTGAGGGTTGTAAAGATAATAGATCTGATATCAGTGGAAAACTAGTTAAATAAGAGCGAAAGTATCAGCCAACATATAGATGGCTGTTACAGAAAGCAGTTTTTGTATGACTTCTTGGGATCTATCCACCCCAGAGAGAGGGTGTCTAGGAACCAAAGTATTCAATCCAAGTCAAGTTCATCAACAAGTGAATTTATTGGTCTGTGTATGGGAGCAATGGGCAGCAGACATTAAGATACCCCAAAAGAAATCCGCACTCCAGTGATGAATCTTGTGACTCTTTCCTTTTCAATTGGAAATGTTAATAGGCTCTAAATTTCAGACCCTGGCAAAACAACACACACACCAAACAAAATTTATAAAAAAAAAAAAAAAACAAACACTGCCTTTTATGAGCATCGTACTACAGTATGTTGTACTTTGTTTCCTTTGGAAACTTGTTTAATATCATTATTAAGTTGATAGGCACTCTAGCAAAGGGTTCTTGTAACCATACTTCCCTGGAGTTTACTATAAAACAGGCTGACCTAACGTGAAGCTCTCTTTCTGCCTCTACCTTTCAAATGTTAGGAGTTGCTTATATGCATCATTGCTCTGATCTTCTTTAAAGTCATGGTAAGGGCTAATAAGATGGCTCAGCAGATACAGACACTTGCCATCAAGTCTCGACAGGCTGAGTTCAATCTCTAGGCCTATGTAATGGAAAGAAAGACCTGATTTCCCCAAGTTGTCCTCTGACCTCATACATACTGTTAAGAGAGTGTAAACATGCACAATAAATGTAAAAAGAAAGTTTTCAACAACAACAACAAAAAAAAATATTGGGTCAGCAAGATGTTTCTGTGGGTAAAGGCACTTGCCATTTTGAGCCTGAGTTTGATCTGATCTGAGAGACCCACATAGTACAAGGGGAGTATTGACCCACACAAGTCCTGACCTCCACACGTATGTCATGGCACATATATATGCATATACACATACTAAATGAATAACCATGTATTTCTATTATGGGTGTAACAAAGTTCAATCCCCAGAATACACATTAAAAAATCCAAACATAGTGGCTTGAACTTGTAATCTCAATACTGGGGAAATGAAGACAGGTAGAACCTCGGGGCTCACTGGTCAAATTGCAAGCCAGTGAAGAGACCCTATATCAAAATGAATGATACCTGAGGTCTAATTGTGGCCTCTGCACATTCACACACAAAGTCATTTTTAGTGATAAGAGTTAATCATAGTGGCAGGCACCTCCAATCCCCAAGCTCCTTAGGAGGCTAAAGCAGAAGAATCTCTTAAACACAGATATTTGACCCTTGTCTGGGTAACATAGTACAACCTAATCTTTCCAAAAAAAATAATAAGTTGGGTAGAAAAAAGCAGGCTATTAACTGGAAAAAAAAAAGTGAAACTTTCTAAGCAGTGGAATTTGAATTGCTTCTTACTATAGAGAGATCACTAGGTGAGCCTGGCTTTAAGGAATGATGACAAAGGAGAGAGGCAGACTGTTGAATCATAGTAGTTTCATAAGCAGAGGAAGATAAGGTACAGTAAAGCACTTTAAGAATTAAGACTGAACTTTATTCTACATGTGCTGGGAGTACTGAAAACACCATATTTCATGATGCCTATTAGTTTTAAATTGTGCCTATAAAATTACCATAATTCCAAAGAATTCATAAACCAGGAGATGATGCTAAAAAACAAAAAAGCATAAAATATGTAGGTAATTATCATAAAATATAAAATAATAAAGATATTAAGGGGAAAACATATCACCAGTTGCCATAGAAGTAACTTATAAAATTCAATGTATATAATGTCATAGTTTGGCAAATATCAGTCAAAAATTAGAAATGGGCTGGAGAGACAGCTCACCAGTTAGAACTGGGTTTCCAGTACCACATGGTGGCTTACAGTGGTAGTTTATGGCAACCACCAATAAACTACAGTTCCAAGGGATCCAACAACCTCTTCTGCCCTCAGCAGGATCCTGAATGCACATGATATATACACATAAATAAATCTTTTAAGTATTAGAAACATAACACTAAAGGCATGGCTGTCAAAGTCAGGAACAAAACAAACATAATTATTCAACATTTCTGGTGGTCTTATCAATGTTATGAAATTAAAAGGGGTATCAACACTTCCAGATGACCACCTAAACCACTTAACAAAACAAGTAGAATTTACAAGTAAGCACATTAAACAAAATAGCTGTCTTCTCCAGGAGTCAAAGCTGCTCTATAGAGAGCTCATCTCCATTTTTCTCAGCAAAAGCTGAAGAACTAAGAACTAAGCCTGCAATGACTTTGTCCTATGTCTGTAGTCTATGCTATAGTTAAATACCTGCTCCCAAAGAGTGCAAGTTAATGAAGTCTAGGAAGCCTCTTAACTAAACACTATGACTATCTAATACCAGGTGTGAGCTGACTTCCCAATCCAACATTCAACATTTAGTCCCTTCGGTCTGTAATCTTCCCAGATTTAAACCTAGTTACCATGGTTTCAGAGTGAGAAAAAATCAGCAAGTAGTAATGGACTTGCTTTACTTTTCCAGGAAACAAAAGTGCTGCTTTTACAAGGATTTATGAGCTGCATCTACAAGGTCTGAGGGTCCAAAAGTCTGCAATACCAAAATCACTAAGGGGGTCTCAACCACATGTTTAAGGCTTCAGATTTTTCCAACAAGAGCCTTAGTTACATAGCCATGACTAGGCTGAGCATTCAGATATCTTTAAATAGCACTCCATGAACCTTAAATCTTATATCTACCCTTCAAATTGCAAGAAATAAGTTAAGCTTAGGTCTATATCTTGGGTCCTACATTTAATCACTGAAATATCCTAAATACCTCAACTGCAGTCTTTAATTATTTCCTCCATATTTTTCAGGTGCCTGAAATTTTGCACAGGCAACATGGTTATTGCCAGCAAAAAGAGGCCACATTGTGTCAGAAACTAAATAAAACTATTCTGCAAATCCAATCTTACTTGTTTTCTTGCCTTAGTATACCACCTGTGATAGCCATTCTTGATTGCCAACTTGACTACATCTGGAATTAACTAAAACCCAAGCAACTGGATAAGTTCAAGTGAAGCTCTGAATGAAAATGGCCCCCATAGGCTTATAGGGAGAAGCATTATTTGAAAATATTAGGACATGTGGCCTTGTTGGAATAAGTATGGCCTTGGAGGAAGTATGTCACTGGGGGTGGGCTTTGGAGTTTCAGAAGCCCAAGCTAGGCCCAGTGACATTCTCTCTCCCTGCTGCCTGTGGATTAAGATGCAGAACTCTCAGCTACTTTTCCAGCACCATGCTGCCAGGCTTCCTGCCATGATAACTGAACTTCTAAGCTGTAAGCCAGCCCCAATGAATGTTTTCCTTCATAAGAGTTATCATGGTCATGGTGTTTCTTCATAGCAATAAAACCCCAACTAAGTAACCTGGATACACAGGGATTTTTTGTTTCCTTAGTGAAATCATTTGAAGTGGGAAGATCCCCTTTAATCTGAGCCACATCTTCTGCTGGCAGCCTATGTAAAGGACATGAAGAAGGAAGTTTGCTCTCTTTACCTGCTTGCTCTCCTTGCCGACTTGTTCTCACTGGCAAGTCCATTCCTTCACTGGAGCCTCCTCCTTCAGGATTCTGCCAAATACTGAAGACCAGCAGAGACATACAGCCTCATAGACTAAACTACTAGATTCTTTCTTGGACCTTCCATTCATAGACAGTGATTGTTGGACTAGCTGGACCATAGCCTATAAGCCCTTCTAGTAACTCTCATACATACGTGTGTGTGTGTGTGTGTGTGTGTGTGTGTGTGTACACAATCATTCTCAAAGAAGTTCTGGTCCTCAGAGAAGTGAAAGTGATGTTAGTGTATATATATATACACATATATATATACATATATATATATATGTATATATATATATACACACACACACACACACACACACATACATATTACATACACATTCTACCAAACTCATATGGCTTAGGGGAGGGTTTTTTGGTTTTTTTGTTTTTTGTTTGGGTTTTTTTGCCCCTGCAAAAATATCTGTATCAAGCAGAAGAGATGGTTCCATGGGTAAATGTGCTTGCCACCAAGCCTAACAACCTGACTTTGATTTCCAGGACATATATGGTGAAAGAAGAAAGTGACTCTTGCAAATTGTCCTCTGACTTCCACACTATGTTGTAGCATAGTCCCTCCCTTCACCAAATGAATAAATATCATTTTTTAAAAACCTCTATGGCACTGATGAGATATTTCAGCAGTTAAAGAGTTTTGGCAGAGAACTCATCTGGCTGTTCACAATATAACTCCAGTTCTAGAGCATCCAAAACCTTCTGTATACTCACCCACACATATTCATGCACGTAATGAAAAATCTTTTTAAAAAATGTGTGGCGTTTGTATTATAAATATAGAAAATATTTATAGTAATATAATCCAGAAATGATACAAGTTATTCTGCATGACATTATAGGTTATAAGCAAAACATGCTATTTTATATGAGAGACTTTATCATACAGATACTGAGATTGATTTGAGTCCTGGAAACAGTCATTTAAGTCATCAAAAGACAACTACAGTATAGACATATTTGCATATGATAAACTATCTCTAAAACAAGGTACATCATGAAACCTAGTGGAAAAGAAAAAAAATGTTCAAAGATGATTTAACATTTTTAGATGGTGATAGTAGCATTAAATCAATATAGGCCAATTAAATCAATATATATTAAATTATATAGGCCACACAACAAGGAACTGCCCACAACCTAACCTCACATACACAGTGAAAGAAGGGTTCTAGTGAGGAGTGATATAGTCACTGTTTTCTGGAGAAAAACTAAATAGCAGGAAGCAAGAGCTAAAGAGACTTACCTTGCACTGCAGAAGTTCTTTGCCATTTTAATTTTTTACATATAAAGGTATTACTTGTAAAGACCAAGGACATCGGGGGCTCATTCGGGCTACAACCTTTTGGAGTTGGGAGTTTCCTTGTAAAAGACTCTTGGGGAAGGTGTGGCTATTGCACAGTGATGCTTCCAGACTACAGCATGAGCTGGACCCTGTGCTGTAGACCCCTGCTCTCTAGCCTTCTGCCCCTGCATCTAAAAGTCCATAGGATTAGTGGAGTCAAAACACTATCTCTACAGAGAACACTCTGGGCACCTAAAATTTCTGTCCTAAAAGCTAAGTGGGCCTCCAGGATCTGTCCAGTGCTCTTGCTAAAGTTCTTGTCTCCTTTAGAGTGGGGCAATGAAAAGGATGCTTAGAAATAATCCTTGGGTGTCCTCTAACAGGCTAAAACACTGCGGGAAGCTTTCTATGGTCTTTCCAAAACAATTTTCCCCGGCTCAAAGTACATTTTGTCCATATCAATCACAGAATATCAGGGACTTATGTACAGTGATTCAAGTCCTTTTATCATAGGCAGAATCCTGCTACATACCATAGGCTGGCCTGGACCTCAAATGAGATGCTCCTGTTTCAGTATTTCCATGTGCAGTTATTACAGGCAAATGGCAGCAGACCAGACTAATTTTCTTGGTCCTTTGTGCATTTAAAGAAAAGCAATGATAGATCAAATTTTGAAATCATTTTTAATCAAGCGACTATGTACATAAGACACCCCTTTAAACGTACTGGTGATGAGTTCACACCTAACCTCATCAAAACATAAGCACATTTTGACAAGCATAGTGAGGACTACAACTCCCGAAATACACCGCGGGACCAACATGTGCACCTGCCCCATGTTCACCTTTCACGTTAGAGACAAGAGTTGGCCGAGCTGAAGGACCATATAAGAGAACGAAGAGGCGGCTGAACTACTACACTGGGAACCACGGCCTTCAGGGGAGCGTCACGCACTGAGCGACGTTAACTGGACGCCGGGAGCCCTTCGCTCTTGCGGCACATGAGGCCGAGAGCTCCCCGAGGAGAGTGAGGCTGCCCGCCTGCGCTTGCCTCGTCGCTGCAGCCAGTCTCTCTCCGAGCTTTTTAATGGTCGGTGCCACGAGGCTGACGGAAGAACGCTTTGGCGGGAAATAGGAACTGTCAACGCGTTTGTGGAACCTTAAGATCGCCCACTGCTCACCGTGGCCATGGAACACTTCCCCGGCAGAAGCCTCGCAGATTCTATAACGGATTTTAATGGGTGAAGGGGCTCGACCTTCCTTCGTCTTCACGAAAAGATTCAAACACCGCCACCCCGCCCCCAGCCCTTCTCGGGCTGACAGGATGAGTCCCTACACTTGGCTTCGCCCTAGTCCTGTCCACGCACTCGGACTTCTCAGCCTGACTCTGTTCGGTTGAGAGCAAGTCCAGAGTTGACAGTCCGACACATGCCCAACATCCGCCCTACAAATCCGGAAGAACACTTCAGCAACACCACTGCTCCAGCAACTTTCTACTGACGCTTTCTCGTGCCGCAGGGAGAAAAGCTCGCGAGACTTCCCCGCCCAACTGAGATTCTCGAGTCAGGAGGCGGGGCCGAGAGAGGAGGAAATCCCTCCTAGGCCGGCTCGCCTCGGAGGCGCACTCCTCGCGAGATCGCCGAGGTCAGCCTCTCCGGAAGCGTATTTGGAGGTAAAGGTACTGTGCATTGAACTCGTCGGCCGCCGTAGCCCCTGCTAGGACAGCCCGTGCGAACCTGCTGGAAGAGGAAGAGAAAGGCTGAGAGAGTCGGGTTACAAGATGGCGGATCTGTAGTAGTAACCGCGGCGGGCGGCGGCAGCGGGAGAGCGAGCGAGCTCTGGGGAGCAAAGGGAAGGGAGGGTGGTTGTGCGCCGGGGTGAAGGGAGGGGTAACGGAGACCACGAGCGGAGGGCTCTCGGTGGCTCTGGTCACCCCTTCTCGCGGCCAAACCTTTGGAGCCATGGTAAACTCGGGCCTCTCCGGAGCCGCTGCCACCACCGCCGCCGCCGCAACTATCGGCTCTCAAGAGTGAGGGGTACCGGCGAGGTGAGCGAGGAGGTGGCGGCTGGAGCGGTGGGGCCAGTAGCCACCATGTCGGATACACGGCGGCGAGTGAAGGTCTATACCCTGAACGAAGACCGGCAATGGGACGACCGAGGCACCGGGCACGTTTCCTCCACTTACGTAGAGGAGCTCAAAGGGATGTCGCTGCTGGTTCGTGCAGAGTCCGATGGTAAGGTTATTGTAACGGTGGGATAGGGGACAGTGCATCGGCCGCGGCTCAGTCTGAGGTTTAAGCTCTGGGCTCCGGTACTGTGTACTCTGACTAGCACCACTAGGGACAGCGCATTGGTCTTGAGCCTGCCCTTCTTTACGATAAAAACAAACTACTGGGCCTGGATTTACTCTCCGTCAGACGTGAACTCGCAGTTCTCCGCCTCCATCCCTGTTAAGGATTTGACTCCTTCCTTACCCGGTTGTTGAGGTTTAGAATGTGATGAGTGGGAAGTCAGTAGAAGACCAGATAGGAATCTCGCCCTTGAGATCAGACACCCACCCCCGGCCCGCTTTAGGTAGTCTTGTCGGTTGTACCCGTCTAGTATAAAAGATTTAGTGAAACTTTTCTGAGTGCCATAAGAACAAGTTTCAGTTGTTCTAATCGCCAAGTGCTGGGGAAAACTAAAACGGACTTTTTCTTGGAGTTAGTACAGACTGTTGCCACGAAACATACAAGCACGTACATCTTTAGTTTTTGATCCCTTCAAGGCTAGTAGGGAGTGAAAAAGTGGGTTCCACAATCACAGCAAGTTAGAAAACTAAAGCAGACTGTGAAATTGTATTTGTTGATTGCAGAATTCATAGAAACCATTTTAGTATTATTAAAAACTGACAGCCATAATAAAGCAGCTACTACCTGTACTCAAGAGCTGCCCAATTGGAGCAACTAATGCATGCAGGTAATAAAAGAATAGAAATCTAGCCGGGCGGTGGTGGCACACGCCTTTAATCCCAGCACTTGAGAGGTAGAGACAGGCGGATCTCTGAGT